GATCGGGCCTCGGCTGTGCGAGAAGGAACGTGGCAGGGGGGCGAAAACACCTCCCGACCCGGGCTGTGAGGAGGGGGGCTGCGGGCTGGGTTAGCTCCCCTGGCTCGGGGAGCTCAGGGCTTCGCGGATCCCGCCCTGCTCACCCCCCTCCCGACTCCGAAAAAAACGCCGGTTAACCTTCCCGCTTCGCAACTGTAGGGAACAAAGCTGGGGGAATCTAATCTCCATGCAGACTTTTCAAATTAGCATTTACTGCCGCATAAAAACCGGAGACAACCGCTTTTTTCTCGGGCTCCCTCCTTCTGAAGTATCTCCCCCCTCACTCCAGGGCAGGGTGAAGCCCCCCTCGCCCCTATCCTTCCCCGTCCAATTGTCCCGAGTGCTTTCTTAGCTGGGCCGGGCCGTTTATAAATACACCAGCGGTATTTTTTAACCTTCAGTATAAATCAGCTGTGTCAGGGATTACAGCTAAATCTTTTCGCTGGAAATTCTTTGAGCGCAGGAGCTTTGTGTGTGTTATGATAGATCCTTAAATGGATACAGATTTATTGCAGAGCACAAGGGTGTTGAAGGAAAAGCTTCCAAATCTCGGTTACAACCTCTGCTATGGGAAAGGCACGACGAATCCGTGACACCTTCCCCGCGCTTGCGGATGGCATGACAATTCACCCTGCGCCCATTATTAACTTGTTCCAATTAAAGCCTTCAGAAAGGCCGAGTTAATTGAGTATTATATTTTATTAGGAGGGAGGTGTCAAGCTTTACTCATGAGACTTCATCATCGGCCTAATGGGAGCTGCCCCGCAGGCAGATCTGTAACAGAATAAATTACAGCAAGGCAGGGAAATCAGAATGCTACCATTAAAAGCGATGCACTTACTGAAATTCCTCCTCCACTTTCGCAAGAGGCTGTGGAGGTGTGGCTTTAATTAGTTATTTTAATGCAAAGTTAAATTGTTCCCAAAGTATTTTCTGACACAAAGCAGATGCGATGATTAGAAGTTGAGTGAGACTGAAAGGAGTTGGCATCTGTTCCAGGTACATCTATATATTTTAAATTTCCAATAGAAAGTGAAAAATAATTAGAGCAATAAATAATAAACATTAAAAACAACGCGATAAATTATCCCGATCCTTAAAATCCCGACTTGCTGAACGGCGGCTCAGGCCAGCCGGGCACAGCCCCGCTCTCCCGGGACCTTAACTCACGAGGTACTCATTTGTTGACATAAACAGTTAGGAATGGGCTTTCTGACTCGCTACGGCCGAGCGTTCATTACCTAAAGCCACGGGCGC